CTTGGCCTTCGCTTCCATGAGTATTTTTTTCATCTTGACGTCGGCGTCAAGCGCTGGTTAGTTCCAGCGCATGGCCCGGGACAGATCCTGACCCGGTATGAAGAGGAATAGTGGTTCCCTGGACCAGCAGCACTACACACCCCTGCTCCCAAATCAGCATCCGCCCTGTTTGCTCCCAAAATGTTCTCCCCCCCAGGAGAAATCCCGTCCATATGGGACAAGAAGAGATGAACTTTACTTCGCTGTAAATCCCCAGTCATTTCTAAGAAACGTTCAGCTCCGCTGGAGGGAGGCACGCGTTGCGCTCGGCTCGCTTGACTTCAGCACAAATCCACTGCGTTTGTGAAGCCCCAGCTGCCGGAGGCAAGTGATTAGTGCTCCAGATCCAGCAATTTTTAAGCCCTCCTGCCTGCAGGAGCCAACTGAAAAGCGTGGCTATAACACTTAAAATCCAAAATGCCATTATGTAGATACCAGCTCTGATTATTTTCCTGAAATCTCATGACATTTAAACTAATCTTCTAATTTTTTGGGGCCCAACTCGTAAGAAAAAATCTTCTAATGGAGCAGCGGCTTCACAGTCCCCGGGGCTGCGATTTCCTTCCCAGTTTCACGATGCCTTTGCCATGATTGTATGTCACTGTATCCTGCGTTAGGATCCCACCTTCTGCGCCACCTCTCGTCGTGTTTGCCTTTTATTCGCAATTTAATTACATAAAGGCAGGCAGGAGTGGGTGTGTTTATGATTTCTATAAAATACATCGCCTAAGCACACGTAGCGGCAGTCCTCCCGCGGCCACGCTGCTCTGAGCAAAGCTAAGCTGGGGGTAGATGTAATATCTTTTATTAAGCCGACTAATATAGTTGGAAAAACCAGATAAGCTGCCAGGCACATGCTGCCTTCTCCATATCTGCATGTGATATATATAAAGAGAGATATATGTATGTGATATAGATACATAGCTGTATCATGTGTATGTGATATAGATACATATAGATCCTGTTGCAGCAGGGCTCTGAGAGGTAGGACAGTCGCACAAACTGCTTGGAGAGGGACAGAGAGCCCCGATACGCTACACACACAGAGAGCTGCTTTTCAGCTACCCCTTCCTCTGTAAGGGCAAGTCCTGCCCGCGCCGCGTGGCCGTGCTGCTGCGCGGGGCAACGCCGTCCCCTGGCCCGGCAGGTTTTGGGGGGTTGAAGAGTTTAGCACCTCATGAGCACTAAGGAGCCGTTAGGGAACAGGGCTGCAAAACCTGCCTAAGGCAGCTGGGGTAAAAATAGCTTTAACGCACGGTCTGCGTTGCCCAAACTTACTGTGAAGAGTTGTTTCTCCACGTTGTCATGGACTAGGTCGATGCCCATCCTCTTCTCCCGGTGAAGCAAGCACTCCTGAGCGACCTGTTGGGGACATGCCATCACTGCTGGCCCCAGGGGCAGGGTTCCCTGCAGGGGTGGTCCCCATCTCAAGTAACGTAAGAGAAAAGAAGTTATGGGTGGGCACAGGGAGAGCAGCACGGGAACAGAGCGCCCAGGGCAGCTGGTTTAGCTGACGACGAGCAGCCGAGCTGCAACATCAGCATTAAATCAACACGAGGGAGCAACACGTGTCCCTGGTGCAACCACAGCTGAATGCAGGGACCTGTGTCAGGCTTGATGCTGACCTTGCCAGAGCCTCGTAGCAAGGCATGGGCTTTTGTCTCCCAAACCAGGACTTTGGATATATCGCTTATAAAAATATTTGGTTAAGCAAATACTGTTCTGATGTGCTCAGCATGTGCTGATAGGGGATGCAGCAGATGGCAAGGGGTTTGTTTATTACTAACTTAACTAATAGGCTCTTAACAAAAACTTTCTAGACGTTACGGAGCTGTAATGAAACTTAATTAGACGTTTGAATGGCTGCAGATGTTTCAGCAGCAGGCTACAGCTTGCAGCCCACTGGACAGAGTGCTTACCTGGAGAGGGGCCTCCGTCTCGGCCAAGGCTCTTTCCAGTCTTTTCTTCATGTCTGTGAGTGCGTTGGTCTCCCCGATCATCTCATCCAGCTCATGGCAGAGCTCTGATTTCCAAAACTCAATATCATTGACACGTTCTCCCAGGTTTTTGGTGCTTTCTACTTGTGTTTTCTTCGTCTGCTGATATTTATCATGAATCATGCGGGAGGTATCGACTCTCAGACGCTCCGCGTTGTGCCGGGAAGTCTCCGACTCTTTGTAGTTGGTCAGGTTGGACCTGTACCAGTCGTCAGGGGTGTACCGGGTAAAAAGGGTTGTTCTCTTGGAAGCAAAAGGAAGCATCCTGCTGGGGGTTATCCCCTGGGAACTTTTGGAAAAGGGAGCCAAAGTTGGGTTGATGGCAGCTGTTTTATAGTACGTGCTGGGCATCCAGGGAAGGCTGATGCTCTGAGGCAAGGGGTAGTAAGGAAAACGGTTCTTATAGCTTGAAGCCATGGTGCTGATGGCAGGCAGAAACTTGGTAGGTGTTGATCTTGGATGGGCATACATTGCTGTCAAGGGAGAGCCAACCAGCTCCATTCTTGAACGCTGCTATTCAGGTGTGTGTCCTGCACAAAGGAGACAGAAGACGACACCCTCACGCAGTAAGCTCCTGCACTTGCATTGCTTCTTACAGCGACACATGCAACTTATCATACAAACAGCGATGCACACAGCACCCACATATCGCCCGTACAGGCCTAAAACTCTTGAAGTCAAATCCCTTCTGACAGCATCCCAAGCATTTGTATACATAAGGATTTGACTTTGTTGTTAGTATCTAGCGTCAGGTCTTGAAATGCAGAGAGAAACAAATCATGGCTGCTAAGGAGAATGACAGATATTATGCCTTCATTTTCCTTAGATCTGTCAGTCCTGTCAAACTGTAGTTGCCGATTCTCTGCTGTTCATTTGTTTCTTTTGGCAGGCGTATCTGCTGCTCTTATAGTACTCCAGATGTAATTTTCTCTTTAGAAGTTCCAGCCACAATAGCTTTAGACACACAGCTGCTACCAACCCACTGTGATTTGTGGGCAAGGGACTCCATCCTCATCATCTCTATCTTCACTTGCATCAAATGCTCGAGGGAGGAGTCTGCAGGTGAGCTGAGCTTTTCAGGACTATATACAAATTTGAAAAAAACCCACCTATTTCAGTCTAAAAAGAGCACCCATGTCTTGACTTGCAAAGGAAGAAGAATGTCTATGGCTCACCCGATATAAAATAAATGTGCTTGGGAAGGAGACAGATACCCTGCAGCATCTTTTTAGAGCGGCTTGTAAACGTCAGCCTCGCAGTAAGCCTAGGAGGAACGGCCACCCGGGAAGATTTTGCTACCCGTAACTGCGTATGGCACCGTGGATGCTATTGCTCTTTTCAGATTGAGGTTATCAGGCAACTGTTATCAGAAATACAATGCAGAGGGCCACCAATGTCCCCAACACACCTAATTTGAGGACAAACACTCAGGAGGGTACGTTGTGCTCGGTATGAAGCTCTTGTAAGGTTACCAGTGTCACCCACTGGCAGGAAGAAGTCCCTGTGGCTGTTGTAGCCAGCTGCTGTGTTGCAGGGACGTGTCCTTGCCCTAACACCATCCTGTCCCCACTGCTCCCAGCCTGGCTCAGAGCCCCAGTGAAAGATTAGGACACCAGTGCACTACAAGTGGGGTTGGACACAAAGCATGTGCTGAATCCCATTTATGAGAGCATGAAATCACCTTTATTCCTTTAAAAATTGGATGTTTGCATGAAATAAACTTGCTTTTATTCTAGAACAAAGCATCCACACAAGCAATCACAGGACTCAAGGTTTAGTTGCTCCTTCTGGGCTACCCTGATCAATTTGTATGTGCAGGCAAGCTGAGAGAGGCTGGCTTATTTTTCAAAACTATAAAACCCTTGGGAAAGAGAGTTTCTTTCATTTTAGTCACCTCTGCGACAAGGAACGCCTCTCTCTACGCAAGGGCAGGACCAACGAGTCAGGGTTTCCTACTGGAAAGTTTAAAAGGCAATAGACCGGAGGCACACGGGGACAGGCAGGCTCTGCCTGGGAGCTGCTGTTACTGTACACGGGTGGTCACCCCCCTCGGTGCCGGCCACTCGCAGCCCGTTGGCTCCCTTGGAGCCGTGCCCGTGTCCACCAGGTGATGAGCAGGCAGCACGACGCGTGAAACCGCACATTTTCCAACATGTAGCTATGGGGACAGGTGACCCAAGAGACTTTTTGTGCCACCCGTGCCTGTAACAGTCTGATGCGCTCAGAGGAACAGTGTCTCAAAATGCAGCTATTAAATAAATGAACGGCGAATGCAGGAGAAGAACAGGTCCTTTAGCGAGGGCAAAACAGAGAGAAATAGGGATGAGTCAGAGGGGAAAAGTGCACAGCCTGCAGCTGGGAAATCATTGAACTTTGAGGACTGTATTTGCAAGCCTTGCCCAATTTTGGCCTTGCTGGCACGGGCTGGCCCAGTACCTGACTTGAGAGCAGCATAGCTGCAGGCACCGAGCCTTGCCCTGGGATCCAGCCTGGCCGAAGAGGCTGTGGGATAGGCAGTGGGGAAATCACACCCTCAAATTTAGAAAAAAAGACTTCTGCAAACACGACCCTCCGAGCCAGACTGGCAGAACCGAGGACGAAATGTCTGTGCTCAGGTCCAACAAAAACCACTGTGTGTGTGCTGGTTCCCACAAACCAGTCACTTCAGCCCTTTTGTCCCTGCTGGGGATAAACAACTGCACTTCCCCGAGCTCTGTGCCACTTATTTATACCTGAGAAACAGAATTCAGAGGGTGGGAGGCGGCTTTCCTGGCTCCCACCCCTGCAAATAAATTATTCTCTTTCAGATACTGATAGACACACGTTTAAAAAAAGGAGGAAAAAACCTTGAGAATGGACTGGGTGTTACATTTCCCTGCATTTCCAGCTGAAATAAATCCCCCTGCATCCCCCTCAGCATAAGCCGTCCCAGGGTGACACTTTCTGCCACCCCTGAACACAGACACGCGACAGGAGCACCCCGACCACCCAGTTTGGGTATATTTGGATAAGAGATATTCGGAGGGATTAGGGGAAGTACCTGCTTTTTCAGTCCTCTCCTCCCAGTTAGAAAAGCACACGCTCACACTTAGCTGCCTGGGTGTGGGGTGCTCTCCGGAGGCCTGGGGGTCCCGGGGGGCTGCATTCACCGCTGTGCTGTCGGGCTCGGTGGCAGCACCAGCTGCCAGGTGCTGCAGCATCCCCAGTGTCACTGACACAGGACCAGGGGAGTGTTGCCACGGGCGCAGGGTGCTCAGTGACCGGGTGCTGCTTGGGCAACTCCCTGCAGCCGCTATGGCAACGTGATGCAGTTGTTGGGCAAGCCGGTGCTCTCGATGGGTGGCCCGGGGCCAACCCTGGGCAAGAAAATACCCTCACAGGGCATCCTAGTTCCTGCCTTTGACAACCTACAGCCCTCGGTACTTTGTGTAGCCCCTGGGCAACCAGGTGCTGCTCTTGGGCAACTGTTGAGCGGCTGGACAATGCTTAGTCATGGTTTAGTTTCAGGTAGTCCTGCAAGGAGTAGAGAGTTGGACTCGATGATCCTTATGGGTCCCTTCCAGCTTCAGATATTCTAGGACCCTATGAACTCAGAGTCCCCAGTGGGCAACCCAGTGCCACCTCTGGGCAACTCAGTGCAGCAACCTAGTACCTTTGCTGGGCAACTTGATCCCATTCCTGGACAACCCCCAGTGCCATCAATGGGCAACCCAGTACAGCTCTTAGGCATCCTAATGCCACCGCTGGGCAACCAAGTGCCATCTATGGGCAAACCAGTGCTCCTGACAGGCAAACCGGCGCCCTCACTGGGCAAGCCAGTGCCAGCAGTGGTGCTCCTGGGGCAGCCCGTGCAAAGGCCCAGCCCGTGCAAAGGCCTCGCTGGGGCGGGTGGGTGCCCCAGGGTGGGGGGTGCTGGGACCCCAGCTGAGGAGATGCACTGTGTCCCCAGGAGCCCCACCACGGCACAGCCGCACGCAGCACCAGGGCATCGTGCACCCGTCACCCAGTGACATCGGGAACGTTTTCTGGGAGAGGGTCCTTCCCCTGAGAAAAGGCACTGAAGCAGGAGGAGCCCGGTAGTGCCGGTGGTGATCAGCACAGCCGCGCCGGCTAACCCAGGGGGTTTCTCTCCAACTTCGGAAAACACCCATCTGTGCGCGTGCTGCCGTGAGAACCTCTGTGTCCCACTTTATCCAGAGGAAATACTTTCATTTGCTTTGTTTTACCGCTTTAGGTTAACTGTGAGCTACGTAGGTGGCTCATCAAATACTCAGGCTGATGCATCGGTCTCCTCGTAGCCGCCTGCAGCCTCCTCTCGTTTCCCCAGCTCTTGCAGCTGCGGACTGAGACCGTACCAAAATGTTTCACAGCTTCTCCTGAGTGCAGTGACACCCTGTGCACACCCACGCCTCCGTGAGAAAGCCGTGCCTCCGTTGCCAAAGAGCTGACACAAAAAATAACTCAAACTGTTTTGTGTATACAAAGTTTAGCACGCTTTGACTTCACTTTAAACACACGGCTGGCTTTAGCCGGGCGAAGAATCAGCTTAATCACACTGAAATAAAAAGTTCAGCACAGAATTTGCTTTTCTATGGCTAAACCAGATAAAATAATTTCAATTAAAGCAAGCCAACCTCTGCGCCTCGGCAGGACATGCGCACGCCCCCGGGCCAGCCCTGCTCTCGGGTCCCTGCACGCTCCCAGCCTCCATCTACACCCGCTCTCACTCCCTGCCCAGAGCTAATTTCCTTCAGATGAATCACTGCCCGACGAGGGACACCACTAATCGTTGCAGGCAACCACACGGTTTTTGAAGTATTTGCTAAATCAAGCACTAATAATTAGATAATAATGTAAATGACCCATGGGTGCTCTGCAAAGCACACAGACCAGGACTTTCTGGGGAAGCACCCACAAGATCCGCGACGCAGAGGGACAGCAGGGGACATCAAAACGGATGACGCTTTGGTCCCACCGTAGCGTCTGGAGTGGCTTTTCAAGTGAAGGGCTAATGACACACCTAAAATCTACAAAGCCAAGGAGAATTGGCATGTCAAACAGTCAAATTCGCAAGCCAACTGACTCTGAAGCAAGAAGTTATCAACTGTACACGGTAAGCGGTCCCCAAATCCACCGTGCTCTGGGTACCACACCGAATTAAGAAGACTATTCACATCACCTCCATTTATTCAAGTAATTAAACTGCATTCCTTAATTGTAGACTACAACTCCAACAGCAGCAAATCCACTAAAATTACAAAACTGCCGCTCCTGGTTCCGGTGGGGCATATCCAGTTTTGATGGACACATGAGAACAGAGTTTGTCCCGAAGCCGCGACCAGTTTAGCTCAGAATCTCAAAAGAAAAACAAGGGTAGAAGGGTGAGGCTGATGTTAAGCAGGGGTGCCGATTTTCAGCATGTCAGCCCAGGTTTGCCTAGTTGACTAAAGTGGAATTTCAAGGCATACATTAGATACCTAAGTACAGAATCTACTGCCAAA